GTAAATACACACATGCTTCCATGGATTCAGTCTTGTACTAATGCCAAAAGTATTGGTACAGTAGCTTGCTCACCAGAGCACAAAACAAAGGACATTAGCATAAGATTGAAGTTCATCTGTTAGATTTATTATTTTTGGTATACATTGTATTTTCAAAAGCTAAACAGAGTGGTGTTACCAATGCACTCTGAATAGTCTGAGGGTATGAATTTAAGCAGTAAACCAATGCTGATTTTTTTGGCTTTGTTCATACATAAATTTAGGCTATGGAAAAAGCTGTTCACCATTAGAGAAAAAAATCCTGAGCTTTTAGAATTATGTTTTAATGTCTAAGGAATTGTGTGTTATCTCCACATTAATAGCAAATGAGTTCAGTATGAGTACAATGGTTACCGTAAGAATTAAGAATGATTGACCACTAGTAATTCTGATGAATTGCCAGACTGCTTATTGAAGATTTGGACAATCTACTTCCAGGACTCTGCCCTCTGTGCTTCTGTAGATATATCTTAATATCCACCACAATTTATAGCAAAGTATTGTTCATGGATTTACCAGAAGAAGCAATGCTGAGTAAACAGTAGCTCTAGTTCTATGGCATGCTTACACACATGCCTACAGTTTATCGCATGAGCTTTTACATATTGGCTTCAACTCTGAGCACAAAGAAGATGTCACTGCAACCTTTAATGCTTCAGTTAATGTGATAAGGGCATAATAATTTTATATCTTACCCATACTTTTTCTTTCTCCAAGTGCAGTCAACACCCAATCCTAATTTTAAAAGCCTGTGAGTTATCAGAGGTCTTGTCATTCTTTACTTGATGTCTTTTCTTGGGATCAGAGGTGTGTGCTCAGTTGTAATTTTATTGTCTTTTGCTCAGCTCCAAGAATAAGTAATCTACCAATACTGAAAGTCAGCTTGATCATTTATTTCTTCTGAAACCTGAGATCAGGCAGTGTGGTCTTTGTAATAATTTAATTTCGATATAACAATGCTTTTTAAATTCTTTTCCTTTCTTGCTGAAGAATTCAAATGCTTTCTTTAGCTCCTTCTTCCCCAGTCTATCATTAACATTCAAAGCTCTTTAAAGCCCTTTAATGTCTACATTGTATGACCTACTGTATGAGCGGTGGTCACGTTTTGTGTCGCTGCTGCTCTTGTAGTCTCAGGCTTGTTTCTTCCACCTGGAGACATATATATGTTAGGTCTGTTAAGACTAATTTCTGTCCAAGATGCTGAAACCTGAATGTTTTTATTTCCATGACTCAGTTTTACTGTTCATTCTTCTTGATTTTAAATTTTTACGTTAAAATGTTCAAAATAATTGAAAGTGTCAGCTTCTAATCGAGACAAGTGACTTCTGTATATGCCTTTCCAAATATACTCTCTTATGAGTATCTCTCTCGCTCAGTGTACATTACATTGATATCCTTTGCTGCTATGGACATAAATTCTTCTGATTTATCTAGTAGTTTATTTTACTTAGTGTTGTTTAATTTGATAGTCATCATAATCGGGGGAGAGTTGGGAATACTTGGTACAGTTCCTGTGCAGAGGGTATTCCATGGCTGACACATTACTTTGCTTTTGATTTCTAAGATTCTAAGACGTAAAAATCTTATAATTTCTCTTACTTGCCTGGGACAGCAAGGGATTTATTTTTTTAGCTTTTATTATTATTTTTTGATATTATTTATTTTATCTTCAAAAAAAATAAAGCAAATTTATAGATGCAGAAGACTTCATTGCACTTCATAACTGAAGAGATTATGGACCAGGCTTGCTGCACCCAGTGATTTTCTTGCATTCTGCTTGTTTGCAGATGGGAGCACCAAAGGAAGTGACTAGGATTTTGTCTTACTTGACAGTCTTCTTATAGGTCTGTCAAATGGATTAGCTTGCTAGTGGAGGTGGTGTTTCCTTCTCTTCAGTTTTCTGGCTAGTTCACATCAGAGTAGTAAGACTCTGAGACCACCCAGTGAGCTGTGTCATGGTGCTGAGGCTGTATTGTGGCCTGTGTTTACTGTTCTGTACTAGGAGAATATAAGAAGAACAAGGTGGCACCTGTTTAAAAAGCATTTGGGTTTTTTGCCCTGCTCTTTCAAACTAGGTTGTAGATCTGAATAGCTGCTCTGCAAGCCCCTTGTGTCCCTTCAGCTCAGAAGTATGCTGGTTGCACAGGCGGAATGACTGTGAAGTATTGTACAAGGATTGCCACTTAGTGGTTGAAAAATTTTCCGGTGTAGAAATAGGATGGATCTGCTTTGGGATTGCTTTACAATGGTGCCTTTAAACTCTGACAAGAGTCCCAGAAAGGCATACTTTCCTTCCTGAGCAGATCAAGCCCACCACACCTGCAGTTCATATGTCACCTATATAGTATTCAAATAAAATTTATGGAATCAGCTTTTGCTGTACAATGTTCTTATTTTATTCAGTGTCTATGATGGCAACTCTTAAGCAGAGAATGGAAAACAACCTGTCTCTTTGGGAGGGAGATTTTAATCACCTCTTGCCCTAGAGAGAGTTGTCGTCCCAAGTTAGAGCGGAAAATATTGGAAGGGCACTGTGGGAAAGATTAGCGAGAGGCTCCTTTACCAAGCCAGAGCTGCAAATCAATCGAGGCTTTCAGCTGTCAGTGCAACCAATCCCTAAACCATGAGCACAAATATTTACTTCTATTGAAAATGGAGAGAATTTACAAAAAAAGAGAAACATATTTCCATTCCTTTATTTAGTCATAGAATCAATATAAATGATTTGAGGATGTGGACAATTCAAAGTGCTCCAAGATAGTACTCACTTGAGTATACAGCTTATTTTCATAGACCAAAGCTTTCAGTCTGGAGGGAGGATAATATCAGCACAGCAGGTCTCTCTTGGCATAAACACTTCTGACGTGTCTGTGCTCCTTTAACATTTAATTTTAATGAGAATGAACCAATATCTCTCCATAACATTTAGTTTGCTTTCTTTTGTGCAACAGAAAGTGTAAAGCTGTCAATAATTTTTAAAGTACCCATTTCTGTGACACCTGCATGATATTTTTTAATATTTGCTGAATTGATAATGTTCATGGTAGCAGAGTATACTGTGCAATAAACTGCTTTTGTGGCTGATTAAATGCCAAAGTGAAGTGGAGGTATTCAGCAACGGCAAAAGACGTTTATTTAGTATATGCCAATGCCATGAACATTATTCCTGTTACACAAGATTTGCTATGCCCTAATGTACAGAAGTATGAAAGAAATTGTTTCCTTTTCTTGCGAGGTCTGCAATTGCTGTGCTGCCTCAATCTCACACTTCACACTGATATGGCATTCAGGAAAGTAGCTAGGTTGAGTGGCTTGAGAAAGAGGCTTGTCTGCACAGTGAATAATTATTTAAAAGAGTTCTTTGTGTAGGAAAAGCATTATGTGGCTGGGTACACTGAACTAAATTAACTGTAGTATGTAAATTTTCCAACTTTGCCCATTTAACTTCCAATAGGAAGACTTCCCTTTCATTGCTGTGGTTCTCCCTTGAGGGCTTTGGCCTGGGGAAGACAGATGTAGCCCTGATTACTGGCTTAACTGGAGGCTTGCTGAAGCATGTTTGCCTGTATTGCGCTCCCTCACTGGCCAATGCCACCAACTGGACCACTGAGAAAACAAGAAGCTACAGCCATTTCCTGTCATTCTTTCCTCAAGATAGAAGTTGGCCTGAGCTGTACTTAATCCTTCCTTTTCTCTCAAGAGGAAAGGAAAGTCTTTTCTTTTTGGTGTTTGGTTATAAGACAATGGTTTCATCCTGGTTGGATGAAACAAGTACCTCAATGACATATATTTCTTGTGCCATGCTATTTCTTCCTGATAAGATCAGTTACAGAAGCTTCCTGCAATTTGACTAGATGCAAAATGAGAAAAATAAAAAATTATGATGATTTCATTGACTTCTCTCTTAATATATGTTATATATGTTGCCTGCTACAAATGAAGGGCCATGGTGATTCGGTAGCACCAAACTGTCATTCTTCTTTCTAATTTCTTTTTTTTTTTGCATATTGATTTAATATCGTGTCATTCATATTCTATGATTATTTCTTTTTCATGTTTTCTCATGAATTCTCTGACTGAGGAAGGGTTGTATGCTTTTTAATTCTATTATCATTCATGTTTGTTGTTACCCTCAGAGATGACAATCACTTCATTTACAGTTCACCTGCCATCCTTTTCTTTGTATAGAAGAAGCTACAGCAGAGAAAACTGGTGTTCCATGCTACAGATTGAGCAGTGTTATCAGTTTCCTGTCCACAGGATCTTCGAGAGTTGCAGTCTGCACTCTCTCTTGGCAGAAAATTATCATTTATTGCTACAGAGTGATAAACTTTTCTAGTAGCTATTTCTCAAATTGAC